AGTATGGAGATTCCTTGGAAAACTTGGAATGGAACCACCATTTGATCCAGTTATCCCAACTCCTTGTATATTCCCAAAGGACTTAAAATCAACATACTATAGTAACACAGCCACATCAATGTTTATAACAGCTCAATTTATAATTGCTAAACTGTGGAACCAGCTTAGTTGCTCTTCAACAGATGGATGGATAAAGAAAATATGTACATATAGACAATAGAATATTACTTGGCCATAAATAGGAATAAAATTATGACATTTTCTGGTGAATGGATGGAACTGGAGACTCTCATGCTAAGCGAAATGAGCTAATTCCAAAAAACCAAGACCAAATGTTCTCTCTGATACTCAGATGCTGACTCCCAATAGGTAGGAGTGGAGGGCTAGAGGGAGGAGCAGAGGTTCACTGGATTGGACAGGGCAAAATTGGGGGAAATGAGGGGAATGGCAATGGAAAAGACAGTAGAATGAACTGAACACCACTTTTCTATGTTCATATGAATACACGACCATTGTAACTCCACATGTACAACCACAAAAATGAGAAGTTATACTCCATGTATGTATATATGTCAAAATACATTCTACTGTCATATATAACTAAAAAGAACAAATAAAAAAAAGAAATTAAAAGTTAAAAAAACTGAAATATATAGTATTTGAAAAATTGAATTACTATATGGAAAAAAATTGGATCCCTATCTCACAATATGTGAAAATTGGACTCCAGATAGATTAAAGACATAAATAGAAAAGCTCACACCAGGATAAAATAATGCCCATTACTTAATGACAAAAAAAATAGAGAAATCCTTCATAAACAATATGCAGAAAATACAGATAATAAGTCCACAAACTGTTGGATATGATGACCTCAGAATTAAAGATTGCTAATTATGAATGAAGGTTGTCAAAAATAATCTCACAGATGAACAATCACAAGAAGGAATTTAGAACATCTAAAATCAGCAAGGAGTTTATACCCTTAAATATATAAGAATCCATATAAATCATCAGGAAAATATAGAAAACCTCAGTCTAAGTAACTTTTTAACTTTACTTAGCTCCAGTTATGGAGGTTCAAAGACATGATATCAGCATTAGTCCAGGTCTGGTGAAGACCTTGTGGCAGATGGTATTGCAGTGGCAAGAATACATATGAAAGGGAGCCAAAGAGTAATTCAAGGGTCTGACTTGAACTTTAAACAATTCAGTCTCATGAAAACTAATTCAAGGCCCCATGAGAACTCCCTTAATCCCTGCCAAGGGAAGTACCCCCCCACCCCCGCAACCAAAGATTATTGGCCTAATTCTTTTTTTTTCTTTTAGTTTTCAGTTTTCAGTGGACACAACATCTTTATTTTTTATTTTATGTGGTGCTGAGGATCGAACCCAGTGCCCACGCATGCCAGCAAGCACGTTACCACTTGAGCCACATTCCCAGCCCCAGCCCTAATTCTTAAAGTTTCTTACTTGCCTCCCCAAATTGCCATCTTAGGGACCAAGCTCTGACACATTAATCCTTGGGGTTAGATCACATCCAAACCATAGTATTTTTCTGCTCAGTTCAGTCACATCATGAGTTAGCAAGTTATTTTTTCCCCTAGATCAAAACTGTATCCAGGTTATATTATTTTGTTTACTATGTCACAACAGATATCTCTATATCATTGTTCTTGCTCAGATGTGTTTAACTGTATTAGTCAAGGTTATCTATAGAAACAAAACCAATAATATATGGATATAGGTAGATTGGTTTCTTACAAAGAATGGGTTTGCATAATTATGGAGGCTCAGAAGTCCCACAATTGGCCACTTGCAAGCTGGAGACCTTGGAAAGCCAATGGTGTAATTCCAGTCCAAGTCCAAGAGGCTGAGAACCTGGAGAGCCTATGGTTCCTTTCCAAGTTCAAAGACCTGAGAAACAGGAGAACCAGTGGTATAAATCTTAGTCTGATGGTAGGACACTAATGTTCCTGCTCAAGTATTTAAGCAAGGAGCAAATTCTCCTTTCCTCTGACATTTTGTTCTATTCAGACTCTCAAAAAGATTGGATGAAACCCAATCACACTGGGAAAGGTAATTTGCTTTATTCAGTCGACCTAATCTTATCCAGAAATACTTTACACTTAGAAATAATTTTTAACCAAATAGCTGAGCACTTGTGCCTAGTTACCTTGACACATACTTTTAACCATCATAAGTCTACTCCTATCAACTTGACACCCAAACACCATACTTAATCTTAAAATAAAGACAATAAAAAAAGTTAATCTTCTTAATGTTTTAATCTCCTTAAACCATATGTAATCTTCAAATAAAGGCTATAACAAAGCTATAATTCTGTCTACCCTGATGCAACTATGCTGCCTACAATCAAGAGCTCACTAACCCCTTATCTAAAAGAGAAGGTAAAGTCCTTGAGTGATTTTTATTTTTATGATGTAAAATTAACAATATCTAAATACTAGGATATAAAGTCAATACATTCTGTGTGTAATGTGATAAAGGAATGAGAGGAAAAAACATATTTACTGTACATACACATATTCATAATAAAAGAAGGAAATTCTGATGACAATTATTCTCTATTTCTAAAACCAGTCAGATGATTGTGATAGGTATTTAAAGCTACCTTCTTTCACTTCAGTGAGCACCTCATCTGGTTGAATTCTTTACCTGGTGAGTTATTGTGGACTGAATGTTTTTATCTCCCCCCAAATTCATATGTTGAAATTCTAATCATCATTGTTTTGATTTTAGGAGGTAGGGCCTTTTGGAGGTAATGAGGTCATGAGGACTGCACAATCTATGAACCACTGTACAAACACTCAATAGATGCTGAATCTACCATTGCCTTGATCTTAGATTTCTAGGCCTCCAGAAATGTAAAAACTGATGTTTATTATTAAAACCACCCAGGCATGGACCAATAATTGCCTCTGAATGAAAGTATCTGCTCACATAAATTTAAAAACCACAAAGGTAAATTATGAGATCACACTCAATAGGATATAAACAGTAATATTAACATAGTGTGTAAGAGTAAAGATTAGCCCTGTCCAAGAGAAATATAATGCAAGTCCCAAATGAAAACCATATACATAATTCTTAAGTTTTCTAGTGGCCACTTAAAAATATAAGAAGAAGTGAAACTGATTTGAATAATATTTCATTTAAAGTAATACATCTAAAGCATTACTTTAATCAGTATAGGGGCTGGGGTTGTGGCTCAACTGTCAAGCACTCACCTAGCATGTGCAAGGCGCTGGGTTCAATCCTCAGCACCATATAAAAATAAATAAATAAAACAAAGGTATTGTGTCCAACTACAACTAAATGTGTGTGTGTGTGTGTGTGTGTGTGTGTGTAAAATCAGTGTAAAGAATCATTAATTAGGTATTTTACATTTTTTCTGGATAAGTCTTCAAAATCTGGTCTCATTTACAGTACATATCAATTTTGCTTGCCACAACTCAAGTGCTCAATAGCGACTTAAACTCATCCATACTATTTAAACTCCTATGCCTCAGCAAGCTGCTTAATTCATCTTCTTCATCTGTCAAAGGGGATACTCTGATAATTCTAACAAATAAGTGGTTGTGAGAATTGAATCAAACATATAGAAAATGCTTAATTTATGTTATATAGCCATCAATTGATACCCAGTTAGCTAGATATTGATATGGATTAGAACATGAATCTGTATAGATAAAATCATGCCCCATGTATTAATTTTGGTTAGATTTACCCAGAAAGCTAATTTTTATGATTCTGTGCTTTTATATGCAAATAAATATTATTATATGAAAATCTAAGTAGTCTTTACTTGATTGCTATGGAAAAAAATGTTTCCTATGTCTTTAAATAAAAGTAGAAAGTAATTTTCTTATAACTTTAGACAAGAAAGAGATGTTCTAAAGTTTTTTCTGTTATTCCTTTTTTTTTTCCTATGGTGCTTAAAGGAGAAATAATAGAGCATACACAAAGACAAAGATAGATAAACTTTGAAATTGTGTTACCGATTGCTTCCTTTCACTTTTTCTGACACATCAAATTCATTCATTAAGCTATTTGTACTACCTAATATACTCTTCTTCCCTTCTTTGCTTGGCTGGCTGGCCTTTTTTTCTTCCTCATATTTGTTTGTTTGGGGTACTGGAAATTGAAACCAGGGTCACTTAGCCACTGAGCCATACTCCCAGGCCTTTTTTTATTTGTTTCTTTGAGACAGGGTCTCACTAAATTGCTTAGGACCTTGCTAAATCACTGAGGCTGGCTTTGAACCTGTGATCCTCCTGCCTCAACCTCCTAAATCACTGGGATTATACCCAGCTTAAGTTCTTCTCTGACCATCTTTGCTAAAATAGCCTTCTCTTTTATTCTCCCCATCAGCCTCATTGTTTTCTCTATGAGCTTATATCACAATTTATAATTATTCAGTTTCAATTTATTTGCTTTCATCTCTGTATTTCAAGACTTTTGACCCATCAGGGCAGGGATTAAGTTCTGACTTGGTGACTAATGAAATATCAGCAACCAGCACAGTGCCTGGCACAGGCATTTACTCATTTCTTGAGTAAATGAATGAATTAATGAGCACATACTGTTCTGTCATGTATTGAGGTGCTTTGAAAAAAAAGTCATAGAAATTATTTCTTAAACTAATATATGTCCACATCAAGTAGATGTAAAAACTGCAGGAGTTTTATAACATTCAGTGAATCATCAATTCACAAGGGCAGATATTATAATTGAATTTGAAACTCAATGCCTCCCAATATAGTGCCTTGTCAAACAATGCCCCCCCACACACACACACACACATTTGATGGAGTAAATTAATTTTGATATGAAGTCATAGGCTACATACCTATATGAGGAGGAATTTTACTACAAAATAAAATTCACAATGACTAGAAAGAAACATTAATTATGGGTGATTTAAGATAAGGATGCTACAACAGAATGTAATATGTTATATTTTTTTCTCCTAAAAGGGACCTGTTGGCTTACCTGGAGAAGTTGGGATAACTGGAAGCATTGGTGAAAAGGTAATTTCTTTCCTTTTTTTTTTTATAGTAAGAATTCTAAGCTAAATTTAAAGGAGACTTTCATATGCTATTTTATAATAATTAGAAATCACTCATAGCTTTAACATATTACCTCTACTGAAACTCTTAAATATATTAAAATACAGCTAATAGCATATTTACTTCTAATTTTTAAAAGAGTATATTTTTAGTTATAAATATATGGTCCTGAAGGAAGTATGAAACAGTCTTCATATATGGTTAAATATTCTTTAAATCTACTTTATGATTGCAAGCCCCCTATAGGAAGCAATTTTGAAAGAGCAGTTACCAATTTACCTTTCTCTTTCACCTGTCTCATATACTCTTGTTCCTATTCCATTCTTACTGTTTTCTTTGTCTAGTGTTATCTTCTCTTATTTATTCAAAACCAAACTGATGGATTTCCCTCTGTTTATTAAAAATCAAACTGTTGGACTCAGTTAAACTGCCATCTTCTCTACAAAGCCTCTCCAGACTCCCTTTCTTTCTTCTTTCCTGAAGTTAAAATAAGTACTACACTGTTTAAAATTTAGTTGTAAAAAGGAAATTCAGTTGTCCTGTAATTGTTTCATCTTTGTTAACATCACTTCTGTGGAATTTATGTTTATTTAAATATCTCTCCTAACTCTCATTTAGTACAAAATGCTTAATACTTACTAATTTTTTTAGTTAACAAAAAATGAGATAATTAGATAATTTTATAATGTTTTCACTCTGACTTAGTTACTTCTATGTTGGGTTACATCTTCTACATTAAGGTTTTGACAATTCTAAGAATTTTATTGTGGATCAGTTTTATCCTTTTAATCTGTTAAAGTAGATTTCATTGTAATGATTTTCCAGAATTACTTCTGTGGCACTTAATTATGGTAGACAGACTCAAGAAATAAAATTTTGTTCAATGGTTATATAGATTAATTTTTCAGTATGCTTTCATACTTTCACTATTCTCATACTTTGTCTCATAAAATTGTAAGCACTTCTACTTACAAAACTTTAGTATATACATGCTTAATATTAAGTTTTGTTCAACCATGATTTCTGTTTTCTTCATTTTAATAAGACTTTTAGTATTTTTTCCTTAAAAATATCTTAAGATCGTTTTTATTGTACTGTAAGTCTTGCAATTTAGAATAAAAATAAAAAATTTGTGAATTTAAAAATTACTTAAAATTAGGATGAGATGTGCATTTTAAGGTATGATTCTGATGACTTTCTAGCCTTAGCTCAATTATGATTAATTAACATGATTCAGTGTTATTGTTTTTTCTTTCTTGTTTTAAAAGGGAGAGCGTGGAAGTCCAGGCCCACTAGGTCCCCAGGGGGAAAAAGGTGTTATGGTAAGAGATAAATGATTTTAAAAATGTTTTTGAAGAAAATAATGAAGGTAAACATTTCAGAGGTAGAATTCCCTTGATTGAAAATTAAGTGAAAAATGCTATAGTTATAATAAATTTCTATTAGAATTTTCTTTTAAACTGTTTTATCTTACAGAATGCCATGTGACAAGAAGTCACTAAAAGCAAGCATAATTTAGAAGAATTAGATCATCATAAATTGGCAAAAATGGATTAAGAAAACTTCAATTAGAATTCTACTTATTCTCCTACAGTTTATAATTCATGTGGCACATATAATCACTGCCACTTTTCCATGAGTTTGTGGTCATGAGGTCATTTTTTGGCACCTGAAAGCTCAGTATCCAAATTTATCTTACTCTCTTGTTTCTTTAAGATAGTAACAGCTGAAAAAAATTACATGTGTTGCATTTTTAAATTTTTTTTTAAGAAAAGCTCTGTAAGCACTAAAAAATAACAATATCATGGCATTTGCAGGCAAATGGATGGCATTACAGCATATTATGCTGAGTGAAGTTAGCCAATCCCTAAAAAACAAATGTCGAATGTCTTCTCTGATATAAGGAGGGTGACTCAAAATGGGATAGGGAGGAAGAGCATGAGAAGAAGCCTACCTCTAAATAGGGAAGAGAGGTGGGAGGGAAAAAGAGGGAGAAGGGGAGTTGCACGCAAGATGGAAGGAGAACCTCATTGTTATACAGAATACATATATGATGTTTTGATGAGAAAAAGAAAACAAAGTGTGTCACATTAGATTGGATAGAGAGAAAGGATGGGAGAGGAGGGAAGGAGTAGGGAGGATAGGAAGGGCAGCAGAATAGAATAGACAATATGATTGATGTATGTACATTCCATGTATATATTATATGTCAAAATACATTCTGCTGTCATGTATGACTAAAAAAAATAAAAATAAATCGTATGGTTAAAAAAAAAGAAAAGCTCTGTAAGATTTTTTTTAGCCATCTTCCATTTGCTTTTAGCTAGAAAATTTAACATAAGACTAAACTTCAGGAATCATTACTTCTTGAAACCATTCTCAGAAACAGTGTTAATAACAAAGTATGTTTCTTCTAAAATTTAAAAGGTAAAAATATTTATACACAATCATGTTTCTTAATTATAGAATTCCCTGCCCTTTCTCAAAAAATATGATTTCTTAATGTATATAACATAACAAACACCCACGCATACTATACTACTTAAGATACTATAATCTACAGAAGATAAAATGATTTTTCTCTTTCAGTAGACTGTAATATGTGACCTACTTAGCAATTTTCTTTTCCAGGCAAAGACCCTCTAATAAATGAATACATATCTATGCAAACATGTTTTGAGTTCTGTGGTCTTTCTGTAGAAATCATTCCTGTGGCCTCTTTTATCTTGGATAGGAGAGGAAGAGCTTATCAAGTTATCTCTTTTTTTTGGTCTATTTATAATTGCTGGTTTATCCTCAGTGAAAACAATTAAATGCAATAGAGGTTTTGTGTTTTTCATATTATACTTAAATCATAGGGATATCCAGGTCCTCCTGGGGTTCCAGGATCCATGGGTCCTTTGGGATTACCTGTAAGTACTGAATATACTGTATGTATATATCCTTTCTAGAATGTCTGCTTTAATTTAAACCCATCACTTTTGTTATGCTGCTTTTTTTTTTTACTTCATGTAAAATTCATGTAAAAAAGTCATATAAACTAGTGGTGACTGCTGCTCTCCCTAATTATACAAAACAGCCTGGACAGCATCTTGAATTTCCTCTCCCCTACTTGGCATGTAAACCAACTTCAGTTCTATAACCTAAAGTAAAAAACAGCTAAACTTTCTTTATAATAATTACATATATAAGAAAACAGGTCACTAATCAAGACTAGAGTAAGATCAAATGGACAAAAAAATCATAAATTTCAACATATTTTTCTTTGAAAATAGCAAATATTCTCAACCAGTTAAAATTAAGAGGAAATATACCTTTATTAAAATTTAATAAATATACCTTTATTAAACAAAAGTTGAGGTTTGAAAATATTCCATATGTTCTTTACAGAAAGATAATGAAATTCTTTCCCCTGAAGAGAGAAACTTTGCTTATCAGAAATTGATAGTTATTGTGGACATGAATAAGAAAAAGATCAGTCTTTTAATCCCCTGGGCAGAACTTTTTCTGTCACAAATGGTGTATACTGTTTTGTGATGCTTCTGTTTTAAAAATAGTCCTAATTTTCTAGTATATTGATAGACATGTTGTTGGCTTCTAAAATCAGGAAGACTTGGGACTGGGGCTGGGGCTGTGACTCAGAGGTAGAACGCTCGCCTCGCACGTGCAAGACCCTAGATTTGATCCTCAGAACCCCATAAAAATAAATAAGTGAAGTAAAGGTATTATGTCCAACTACAACTAAAAAATAAGTATAAAAAAATCAGGAAGAATTGTCTGGGGCACAGTTATCAGTCTCTTTATTCAGATAGATAGATAGATAGATAGATAGATATCAAATCCTAAAGTTTAGTCCATTTTTATCATACTGAATGTTTATTGGTAAATTTTATTTTCCAAATAAGTCTTTATTAAAGACTATAAAGTATAAAACTAATTCATTTAAATTGACTTAGTAAACTTAATGTCCATTACAGGCTGTTTCTTTTGACATGCTAATTTAAAACATTTATAACCTTCTTCATAGCTTCAGAAAAAAATCTATTTTTATGTAATGAAGTTATCATAAATATATAGAACAATAATAAATAATTGTTATAATTTATAATAGTCATTGTTTCTTGGTTGGCCATGCATATCAGACTAGTCTAGAAGGCTGAGTATCTCCTCCTTCCTTCACTCCAGGGGTGTTCCTGCTATAAACTCTTTGGTCAATCAATATTAAATAAGCCCTCCATCTTTGTTTAGGGTATAAACATCTAAAAATGACATTTCTCCAGATACTAGACTATTTCAAAAGCTAAATATTAGTGCAACAAAATGTGGTATTTTATAATTAATACATATTTTAAGGAAACCGATTAATTTTATTTTTAAAATTTCTAAGGTGAATTATATTATGTGATAAGAAAGATTATGACTGCTTTTCTGATAGCATTCCTATGAATTCTATGACTGATTTTTTAATTCATAACATGTAGGGTCATGTGGGAGCAAGAGGACCACCTGGGAGTCAAGGTCCTAAAGGCCAAAGAGTAAGTAATACAGTTAAAGAAGTACACTAACCTTAGAAAAATTACCTCATAATGATGTGTTCAATAAAAATAGCTCCATACCTTGGATACTTATGCTTAGATATTGCCAGCTTTTCCCTGTTTTCATTTTGAACTATCTTCATCTAATATGGACTGACTACAAAAATTCTGAATGTTGGCCCCTTTGAGGAAATGTATACCTTGTAGAATAAAGCAAACTTAGTTAGTATTTACATTTAAATTGAATGCTAGGTTATACCTGGAGCACTCCAAGTGACAGATAAAACTTCCTCTATGGTTTCCTCTCCTGAAGTAAGTTTATGGTAAGAATCTCTTCCCCCAATATTGCTGATAATGTTAGTTTTTCTAAATGGAACATTTGGTTCCAGCTGTGTAGATCAAGAGCCAGAAAAGTCTGCTGGCTCATTAGTGAGGCATGTTGAGTGACTTAAAATTAATAGTGAGATCATGCAAAAATAGATATGGTTAAAAGGAAATATAAATATATGAGTCCAAGTTACAAAGACATATTTTCTGTAAGGGCTGTTTCCTTCATTCATAGATACTTAGCCTATTATAATTTATTATAGGGGTCATAGAAATGGGCTTGTAATTCTCATAAAAGTCTTCCTAAATGAGTATGCAGTATGTGTTAATGTTTTAATTAATCATTTTTTTTCTTTTAATTTAAGCAATGTAATGGTCCTGTCTCCTATCATCTAATGCGTTTGGGACTAAATTGTTCATTCACTTATTTGGATAACTTTAGGTTTATCGCCTACCTTTCAAGTAATTGTTACTTTACAAAACACGCTTTGTTTACATACTTGAGCTGTCAAACGTTTACTCTCCTTTTGAGAACCCATTAATAGCTCAGTGTAGCCAAATTTGACTTTCCCAAGAGAATAAACAAAAGACTAGATTTTTTATCTAGCTAAGAGAGCATCCAGGAAATATTTTAATGCAGTTACTTTTTTTTAATTTCATGCCAAATTAGGTACCTGTTGTAATGCTATTTGCCTAATTTTCTTAGAGCTTGTCCTAAAGCTTATTTTGCCTAAGAGTCAGAGTAAGCATATACACTAACCAGTCCAGAGGGAACTTGACAATGCTGATAAAGCTAAGCCTTTAGTTAATTAGTTCACTCTTGCCTAAAGCATAGAGAATATCAGCTTTTCCATGAATTCTGCCAGATTTAAACCCATAACTAGCAACTTTAGCCTTATGACCTTTAATTAATGTAACTGTATTACTTAGGTCTTTTTTTTAATTCAATCTGGTTATCTTTATCACTGTAGGCATAGAAATTTCTCTTTCTTTGTTCCCTGTGTAATCCTGGGTTAGTAAATGAAATTATAAATGCGGGAATATTTTTAAAATAAAAGCATTTTTAATGTAAAACAGTGACAATGAGTGGTGAATTTTGGAGGGAGTTCATTTCAATTACAGTCATTTTACTTGTGAATGTTTCATATTTTTATATAAGCTTTTGCTAAGTTTCAAGTCCTCTATTCCAACCTGAATTCACTTACTAACAAAATTTAGCCTTTTCTTTTTAACACGTGCAAAAATATAAACTTTCTCAAGCACAATTATTCAAAGTCCTTGGTCATTTAGAGTCAGGCAACTCACTTAGTATCAATCTGGTTATCTTTTTTTTTATTAATGCTGGCAGTTAATCAGTAAGAAAATATCTAAGAAACACATAGAAATTTGGGGTGGCAGAGGGATTTTTAAGTGCTTGCTTACCAGTAGACACGTTTTTGGTTTAGACTTTGTTTTCTGTCTAAACCAGTTTTTAGAATTTTACCAATCATTCCTTTTCAAAATTTCTCAGCCATCTTCTTTTGTTATTCCAAAAAAAAATTTAGCAGTGTTTCTTACAGGCAGAAAAAAGAAAACAAGGCACTGAAAATACCAGAGAAAAAAAATCAATGTAGATTGCTGAAATTTTAAAATGACGGGAATTATTAGAGCAAAATCTTGAGGGCCCTTCACACTTTAAACTTCATTCTTTAATCATTAATGTTTTCTAATTTTCAGTTACTTAACTGTTGAATATTCCAAGTGCACCCCCCTGAGCACTTCCACACTTGCTGTTTCTCTTGCCACAGTGACCTTTCCCAAGTTACTTGAATGCCTTGAAGTCTGATCTCCTATAGAGACTTCTCAGATGCTCTAGCTAAAATGGTACTCCCCACATTGGGTACTTTCTAGTACTGTAATATCCTTTAATTTTCTTCATTATACTTGACTACCTATTTTCATTTTATACTTCAATTTTAAATGCTTATTTTCTTGTTTATAAATTCAGGAATTTGTCTTTTCTCTCTATTGTGTACCCTGAGCCTAAAACAATGCCCAGTGTGTAGTAGGCATTCAGCAAATGTTAGTTGAATTAAAACTCATTTTGAAAATTATTGATCTATTTAATTGACTCTTTACTTCTCAACTTGACCTTCAAGGTCTTACACAATAAGACAGTAATTTAGTTTTCCAGTCCTATTGGAAAATAAGGCGGAAAAGGAAGTTGGGGACAGACTATGGAGCACCTTAAATACAGACTGAGAAGTTTTAAGACTGGAGATTTGGCTTTCACTTTAATAGGACCAGCAGAGCTGTAGATCCTCATGGAGTATAATGTTCTCTCCAAATCCATGAACATGCCCAAGCAGATCAAGGAATGCAGGTATCCTTATAGTAGGGAGGAAAAGAGTCCTATTATAGTAAACAGCTTTTAAAAATAAAAAGCTAAACTAAGACTTATCTCAGATGGAATTGAAGAGAAGGTGCTGAAGCCTAGGAGGATCCTTCAGATGAGCAGGTTGTACTGGGATATTTGTATAACTGTTTTGTATACAAATATATGGTTCCCGATTCCCAAGTTATTTAAATATAAACTCCAATCCTTTTCCTTTTAAATCTGTCTTCCTTACCACATTTATTTTTTAAATAGTTCTCTACATGTTATCTATAACATGGCCAAAACAAAGTCATTTGCATTCTTTGAATATCTTCTTTCATGCCTCTGCACCCTTTTCTCATACTGTCCTTCTAACTAGAATTCCTTCTGTTTTAAGTAATTCCATGAGAACTTGACTTCCAGCTGCCAGAGGATATCTGTATTCCCATAATCAACATGTCAATGTTCTCTGTCTCTGAATCCTCCTTTAGGTTCCTGACATGCCCATCTCCTTGTATTACGATCACTTGTGTAATTTACCTTTTAAAATTCTATGTAATTGTGAGATTTCTTCATTTTGTTACAAAGATTTCTTCAAAATAAAGAAATCTCACAATTATGTATCTTCATAACACTTCATATAATTCCTTTTCTACAACAGATCTTGGGTTAGAGGCTTATAGAACTGAATTAAGTACCTTTAAAAGGGGGACGCTAATATCTTGGGACTGGGGTTGTGGCTCAGTGGTAATGCGCTTGCCTAGCATGTGTGAAGCACTGGGTTCGATTCTCAGCACCACATACAAATAAATAAAATAAAGGTCCATCAACAACTAAAAAATATCTTTTTAAAAAGGGCTCTAATATCTTCAAAGGAAAGTTATAACTTAAACAGGACAGGACTTTTGCTATCAGTGCTTCTTTGCAACTAAGTATTGAATGAATATTAGGAAGTTATAAAATTACAGGAATATCTCCAACAGCATTTCTGTATTCTTTCTGTGCCCCTGCCATCTTTTAGTAATCATTGTGCAGCAGGTGCAGAGTGTATACAATGCTATCAGTACTCATTTGCTAAGCTGAAGAGAAAAGCACCATTGCAAAAACATGAAACTTAAAGAGATTGTTTACACAAACAAGACAGCTACTTTTAGGTTAAGGTTTTTAAGAATAAGTCTTGTTCACTCTGACTGCTGAGTGAACAAGAAGTGAAAAAAATGCCCTAAAAACAAACTTACAGCCCCCCAACAACTGTATCAGCTATTTTTGTGGTCATATAATTTTCTATTTGGCATAGACTCTTAAAAACATTGGCTGACTCACTTGTATAAAGAAGTTCAGCCATATGTCCAGCTGTATTCTCTTCTGTACTCAGAGCATAAATATAAGCAGGAGTTTATCAATTAAAAAGCACTATGTCTTTATCTTCCAGGACACATAGGAGTAAAAAAAAGGAACAGTTCAAATTAGTAACATTTCAGATTTTTCCCATCTCTAGGGACCAAGAGGACCAGATGGTCTCCCAGGAGAACAAGGTATACAAGGTGTCAAGGTAATAATTTATTTCCTCATTTTATATGCAGATAAATTTTATTGAGCCCCATATCTTACTTATCCATAAAATGATGTGTTTCCTTACAAATGCATAGTTCTAAATTTTCTTAGTTTAAGTATTAAACATGTATAATTTTTACTACACACACACACACATACACACACAAATGTTTTCTTTTCAATATTGAACCACATACTTAATGTATTATTTTTTTTTGTGAATGTATGCTAGTATGTGTAAGGCCATAATTCAAATTCTAACTAATTTATCTGGTATTCATACTTTGTTAGGGTGAAAAAGGAAATCAAGGAAAAAGAGGGCCGCATGGTCTTATTGTAAGTAATGAAACATTTCATATTAAGTATGAACATTTTAAACCTTCCCTATTTATCTTGGTTCTTTCCCGTTATTTTGGGAATTGCCTTCTTGACCTAAGCTTTTTTTTTCCTTGATCAGGGTAAGACTGGAAACCCTGGAGAGAGAGGAGCTCAAGGAAAACCAGTAAGTCATAAAAAATAAGCTATGAACAACTTTTATCCACTTTTAGGGGTTGTGTTGAAATAATGTTTGGGGAGATTTGAACAAAATTATTAATAGTGTACAATGTAATGTCTTAATATATGAATACATTATGAAATGATCTACTTTATCATCTGACAGAATTATTGATTAGTATTCAATTTTTTAGACTAAGAGAACACAAGTTCTTTTCTTCCCTTTTCATCGTAGATAATTTTACTTGAGCAAGTGTATTGGTTGTACCTATTTTTAAATTGGTAGTGATAACATTTCGATTTTACTATAGATATGGTAAATTAGTTTTTCTGTAAAAGCCATATCAAAATAAAGTGGTGTGAGAATATATATATGAAATATAATAAAGCTAAAACAAGAAACTTCTCTGAGGCCTCTTGCCTAGTTTCCTTATAACTCATCTTGAGTGCCTTTTTGACCTTCAGAGTGCAGAGCTATGTATGTCATCATGCTTTCCCATGGCTCTGTTCTAATTTTTTTAATAATTTATAAACTCAATAATTAATGTATTATATCAATAATTTTCTACCACCAGACATCTTACCAGATTATATATGCTTTCCCAAGGAACAAGTTCTATGAACATCCCTAGATCAGATTAAATATCTAAAAAAAGATTCACATGTGTATACATAAACATACGCAGATGATATTAGATATATATGACCATATGAACTGAAACGTATAGGTATTTTTAATTACTTTCATTCAGAATGAGTTTTTAATGATATTTTACTTGTCATATACATGTACATGTATACTTTAACAGTATGAAATTAGATAATAACATGAATAGATTGCAGCTGAGAGGTCATAAAAGGATAGGATAAAAATGTTTTATCTGCTATATTGTCACTAATTGTCACATTTTCTTGTTCCTTTTTGAAATCTGCTGCCCCCTGCCTGTTGTTTCCCACAATAGCATTATATTTGACTGGTCAAAGCTAAAATATTAGAGACCTAAAGAGAAGAAAATGACTTTCTAAGGAAAGAGCTTGTGTTTGGAATGTACTATTAATTAAATTCATTTCCAAAGAACATTCCTTGATTATTAATACTCACCACCTGGTTTTTTATTCAGTCAGGGTAAATCGTGTTCATGTAGATTGTGACCACTTTACTATATTATACACAAGGCTTGCATATTGCAATTAGAGGAGGAATTTGGAGCTCATGTTAATTCCTCTCATTTTAAAGAGATGAGAACTAGAGATATAAAATTACGTACTCATTTTGTACATTGTTGACCTTTCTTACTCTTTAACCTTCATTTTTAGCTTTAGTAAATGCAATGTTTGATGTTTGACACTTTCAATCTAATAAAAGATACTAGAATTATTTTGTAATTTTAGCTTGCAGCAAAAAGTCTCCCAGACTACTGGAAGAATACACATACCTTTTAATTTAACCATGAATAACATGGTTAGACATTAAATCATGAGTTTAGTATAGTTGTTAAGGTTTGCTGGATTCAGTATGTACATCTCCCACTCCTTGACTGAACTGAGATCTAGAAGAAGTGAGGAACAGTCAATCAAAAAAAAAAAGCCAGATAAACCTAAAATATTTGTTCTATCTTTCAGAGTAATCTTAGTGTATTCAGTCCTTCATGCACTGTCAGCAGCAAGCAACAATAGGAGCATATTTTGAAGGTCAGATTGACCTTTGTTCTTTATGCCCCTAAAAATTACATAACCTTGCTTAAATTGTTTAGCTCTCTGTATTCTATTTTCTTTACCTGGAAAATAAAGAAACATAGGAGTTTTAAAAACCTCTTTCTTCTCTAAATTGTCATAATTCTTTTTTTAATTGATGCTGAGTATTGAACCAAGACCTTGTACATGCTAGACATATGCTGTATCACTGAGTTACACCCAATGAAAACCAACAATACATACATTACTCTTGGTAGATAATCTGTAAAAATATATTTATCTGTGGACTAACACCAGTTCCTATACTTACCTTCCATCTACATATAGATCTGACTCAAAGGGAAATCAGGAAGAAAACTCACAATCCATTGTGTAATTAGGGTGATAAAGCATGAACAACTGATTTTGGTTTTTCAAATCATTTAAAAACTGTAAGAGTTGAAACACTACTGACTTGTTATCTAAATAGTCTATCAATTGATGTGATAAGGGTATAAAATTTTTAATTTTTTATTTCTCTATTTCTTTAATTCTGTCAGATTTTGCTTCATATATTTGGAAATTCTATTTTAAGTGCATTCACCTTTAGAACTATTGTGTTTTCCTGATCAACTGACCCTTTTTTCATTAAAGATATCCTATTTTTCTCTGGTAATATTATTTCCTCCTGGGAATACTGTTGTTTTGACATCTACTTTATTTAATATTAGCTATATCGTATCTCTAATTTTTTTATGGTTGCTGTTTACATGGCTATTTTTCCATTAATTTACTTTCAAATCATGTGTGCCTTGATATTCAAATTGAATGTATTTCGGTTGAATCCTGTGTTTTATTCTGACAATCCCTGTGTTTGTTGGTGGTGGGGCACACCGGGGACTGAACCTAGGAATCTCAGACTTTTAATGATAGTGTTTGGTCATTTCCATTTAATGTAACTATTAATGTGGTTGATACAGGTCTTTCATTTTAAGTTTTGTTTTTCTTTGTGCCCTCTTAGTTGCTGTTCAGTGCCTTCTTTTGGCATTGGATAATTTTAAAAATCCTATTTTTCGTTACCTATTGAATTTTTAGCTAAACTTCTCATTATTTTCAGTAGCTAGATCAGGTCAGCAGAATTTGTCTGCAAAGTGCCACAAAAATTTTTTAAAGCATTCTATATTTATTTATTTGTTCTAATTATATATATATATGACAACAAAATGCATTTTGATTCATTGTATACAATTGCAGCACAATTTTCCATTTCTCTGGTTTTGCACAATGTAGCACCATATGTGCAGTCATACATGTAACTTGGATAATGATGTCCATCTCATTCCACTATCTTTCTTGCCCCTGTGCCCCCTCCTCCCCTCTCTCCCCTTTGCCAATCACAGTTCTTCCATTTTTTCCATCCACCCCCATTATGGATCAGTATCCACTTATCAGAGAGAATATTCGGCCTTTGGGTTTTTTTAGGATTGGCTTACTTCGCTTAGCATGATATTCTCCAACTCTATCCAACAAAATAAACATTTTACGTTAAATATTTAACATAAGTGTAAGAAACTTGTAGTCATATAGGCTAATTTACCAGCCTTCTATCTTTTAGACTATAATTATTTTATGTTTTACATTTATATGTATTATAAATCCCACATTGCATTACACTAATATAAATGAAATATACACTGTAGAAATATTTAGGAGGAAAATAGCATTTTATATTTACCTACCTATTTATCATCTCTGGTACTCTTTGTTCCTTTCTGAAGATCAACATTTCATTTTCCTGTAGACTATGGAACTTCCTTTAGATTTCTTTTAGTGAAGAATGCCAGTGGTTTATTTTCTTAGTTTTTATTTATGAAATGTCTTTATATCACATTTGTTCTTGAAGGACATTTTCACTGGATATGAGATGTACGGTTTTGTTTTTGTTTTGTTTTTATTCAGCACTAGAAAGAGGCCACTTTCTTTTTGCCTCCAGTATTTTAGATGAGATGTCCATGTTTATCTTTATTATTATTCTCCTGCATGTTTATATATCATTATGTAGTATTGGAGTCAGATATGTTGGAGGTCAAATACTGATTCTGCCTCTTACTAGATATTTTTCTTTTTATAAATTTTTAAATCTCTTTGAGCCTCCAATTCCTCATCTTTAAAAATGGAATATCTTTCATATTTCCAAAAAATGATTTTTATTCTAATGTACTTGGAAAAGGCTGTCAGTATTATATTTATGGTCATCAATCTTATAGTTAGTGAGTTAAAGTCATGAACAAGGAGCTCTACTATGAATAATATAGTATTAGCATTTGAAAATTTTTTAAATTTTTTTATTTGTATATGACAGTAGAATACATTTATGCACTTTGATATATCACACATAGATGGGATATAATTTCTCATTTTTCTGAGTGAACATGTTGCAGAATCATATTGGTCATGTAGTCACATATATACATACAGTAATAATATCTGTTTTATTCTACTATCTTTCCATTTCTTATTTCTACTATCTCTTCTCCTCCCCTCCCATCACTTCCCTCTACCTAATCTAAGTTAATGCTATTCTTCCCTAGGGCCTCCTGCCTTATTGTGAATTAGCATGCACATATTCGAGAAAACATTCAGCCTTTGGTTTTGTGGGATTGGATTATTTCACTTAGCATGAAAATTCTTAAAGAGAATTTTTATTTGTTGCCAGCTATGCTTTTTCCATTTGTCCCTAATAAAAATAGAGAACATTTAAATTGCTTCTTAGCTCTGTAAAACAGCCTTTTGAATCATCAATAGCATCAAAGATATATAATAAGCTTGATATTATATCCAAACACATTTTACAAGGAAAATGGGACAGTCATTATTTCAAGTTCTGAACTTTTACTATCTGTTTCAGTTTGTATATCGGGCACAGAGGGATCCCTTATATTGATTCTGTTTCTTAATTTAAGAATCTGAAATGAATGAAGAGTGTATGATTTTCATGACTGAAACCAGATTTTAACCAGCTAAGAGTCCATAATTTGACATATTTCCCTATCACTAACCATAGAAACTGAACAGAACATTAATGATTATAACATAGAAGATTATGTGATTCTAATAATTTTTAATACCTCTTTGAATTTTTAAACTTTTAGTTGACATATAGTTATACACATTTGGGGGGTACAGTATAATTTTTCAGTACAATGTGAAATAATCAGATAAGAGTAATTCATGTGTCCATCACCTCAAACAATTATCATTTCTTTTTGTTGGGAAGATTCAGAATCATCTCTACCAATTACTTTTAAATATATAATTAAATATTGTCAGCCATAGTTACCCTACTATACTATAGAATATTAAAAGTTATTCCTTCTATCCTACTGTATCCCCGTATCTGTTAACCATCTTCTCTTCATCCCCTCACTTCCTCGTATCCTTCCCAGTCTCTATTAACTACTGTTCTACTCTGCACTTCCATGAGATTTAACTTTTTTAGCTTCTACCTATAAGTGAGCACATGTGGTATTTGTTTTCTGTGCTTAACTTATTTCACTTAACATGTAGTTCTCCAGTTCTGTCCATCTTGCTTCAAATGACAGGATTTCATTCTTTTCATGACTGAATAATATTCCCTTGGGTATTTATAGCACATTTTCTTTATTCATTCATCCGTTGACAGGCAACTAGATTGACCCCATATCTTGGCTTTTAAGGAATAGTGCAGTAAAAAATATGGGAGTACATATCTCTTCAACATACTGGTTTTCTTTCCTTTGGATATATATTCACTGATGGAATTGCTAGATCATATGGTAGTTCTGTTTCTGGTTTTTTGAGGAACCTCCATACTATTTTCCATAATGGCTCTATTAATTTACATTCCCACTAACAGTATATGACAGTTCAACTTTCTTCACATCCTCATCAGCATTTGCAGTTATAAATATCCTTACTTCCAGTTTAGTATCATATTTTTTTAACTTCTAGCTTTTAAGATAAAATGGTAGTTATGAATTGCTGTATAGTTATTAACATTTCTAAGGTCAACAGTATAGAAGATGCAACTTACAAATTGAAGCATTGTTTTATATATTGTTAGTAGTTATCAATGTCTGGCATTCAGTATGTACTGAGTAAATCTTTGAATGAAAGGACAAGGGAGCATACAGAATTTGGCTTAGAGTTCTATCTACCATTTTATAATGTATTTCATTATAAATGTATTTCATTAATACATAATATATAAATGTAATTCATTACAATATATTTCATTATAAAATGAGACTCACTTTCTGGTACTATAGATAGTATGATGTAAAAATGAAATTAAATAAGAACTTAGAGGTCCAGTATTGTTATTTATAGCCATCTGGAGATCCTGATATCACTGTGCCTTGCCATATTTTAAGGGCACAAATCATACCTATTAATACATCACAAGGATATTATATTTGGAAAAAACTTTTTATATCAATATTAAAGGTGTAAGGAAATTCAAATTTAAAATAATTCTGGATAATCATTTGTCATAATAGAATGAGAATTAATTATAAGACTAGAAGTAGATCAAAAAAAGGGCAGAGGGGTGGGAGGAAATGGGAGGGGGCAGGGTGGGTATTAGTAAGGATGGTGGAATATAATAGATATCATTATCCAAAGTACATATATGAAGACACGAATTGGTGTCAACATACTTTATATACAACCATAGATATGAAAAATTGTGCTGTAGATGTGTAATAAGAATTGTAATGCATTCCACTGTCATTTATTTTTTTAAATCAATAAAAAAATAAATGGTTGAGGGGGCTGTCCTGTCCACAGGGATATTTCAAATGAAAGAAATAAATATGAGTGCCCCTAAGAATGCAATATTGATTGAGGGGGAGAGAAGACATGGCAATAACATAAGAAATTGCTTGTTGAAGAGTTCAGATAGGCTTGGAGTGAAAATGTCTTACGAGAAATCTTTAAGATGTATTAATTAGTCACTGGGAGTTTAGAAAAATTCTGCCCAATAGGACTATATTGTGAGCTCAAAATGTAACCTAAAAATAGCATCTTAAAATAAAATCATTTCTAAAAGTACACAGAAATAGCTAAAATAAAGAATATATTATTTTTAATTCCATATTAATTTTCAAATACTATTATGTAAGAATTAATAAATTTTTTCACTGTTAAAAAAAAGCTTCTACAATTCAATAACCAAAAATACAAAACAATAACAAACCTGTTAGTCATCTTTTCATCTCTGTGATAAAATACCATAGATAATCAACTTAGAAGAAATAAAAACTAATTTTGGCTCATGGTTGCAGAGGTTTTTAGTCCATGGTCAGTTGGCTTCATTGTTTTTGATCCCTGACAAGGCAGAATATCATGGTGAGAAAAATGCTAATTTCAGGGTGGCCAGAAAGTAAAATGAAAAAGGAAAGCCAAAAGAGAAGGAAGAAGAGGCCATGGATCCCCATATCCCTTTCAGAACCACATAACACCAATCCAGTGAAAACATGAGTAAATAACTTGAGTAAACATTTTGCCAAAGAAGATATACAAATGGCCACTAAGCACATGCAATGAGGTTGAACACCACTAGTTATTAGGTAAACGTAAATCAAAACCACAATGAGATACTGTTCCACACACATAAGGTTGTTTTTGCTGGAAAGGAAAGGAAGGGAAGGAAAGGGGAATGAAAAGGAAAAAAAAAACTCAGAAAATATGTGTTGGCAAAGATATGGAGAAATTTGAACCCTGTGCAGTTCAGTAAGGTTTGAATATAAGATGGTGAGGCTGCTATAGAAAACAGTTTAGTGTTTACTTGAGAAGTTAAACATAGAATTACTATGTGATTTATCAATTATGTTTTTAGTGTAATACCTAAAAGAATTGAAACAGAGACCCAAATACTTGTGCACACATGTTCACAGCAGTATTATACACAATAACTAAATGGTGGAAGCAACCTAAGTGCCCACTGACCAATGAATAAACACAGTGTGGTGTGTACATACAGTGAAATTCTGATCAGCCTTTAAAAGGAAGAAAATTTAGACACATGCTATAAGGATGAACCTAGAAGACATTATAATGAGTGAAACAAACCAGACACAAAAAAACAGATATCATATGGTCTCATTTATATGAAATGCCTAGAGTAATCAAATTCATTCTACTTCAAAAAATAGAATGGTGATTACCAGGGAGTTGGGGGAAATGGCTGTGGGGTATTTAGTGTTTTATTTATAAGCAGTTTCAGTTGGGCAAGATGGAAAAATTCTGGAGATGAACAGTGTTGATGGTTGCTTAATAAGGGTGAATGTACTTAATACCATAAAACCATATACATAAAATGGTTAAAATGGTAAATTTTATGGTATATATTTTACCACAAAAGAATAAAGGAAGACATAGACAAGGATCCATAATGAAAGCTAAGATAAGAAAATTAAAACATTTTCAAACACTACTTTTTCTACAAGTTCTACATTTATTTTCCAGGGTTTACCTGGACCCTCTGGCAGTACAGGAGACAGGGGACTTGCAGGAGAACCAGTAAGTCTATATTTATACTTTTCTAATAGTTTTTTCTCCAAATGCAAATTTATCCTTTCATTATTGCCCTTTTATGTTGTGGCTATATTTAGAAAGCGGCATTTATCATAGATACTATATACTGGTCATGTAGAATGGATATTTTGCTGTATAAACACCATAGACTATGTAGAATGAATATGTTTTCATATAGTTTTAATGCCTTTCAAGTTTCATATACTCTAATTTGTTTCAGTATCTCTGGAACTGTTAAAACTGAGAATATTTATTTTTAACAAAGAAAACTCTGTTTTATTGAATCTCAGAAATTCTTCTGAATGGCTTGCTGTTCTTACAATTATTACATTGCCCACTCACACACATACACATTTATGAAGCCAACTCTATAATAGAAGACCACATAGAGAAGCCAAACTCTACATCTGATGGGCCAAAATGTAGAAAGATGACAGAAATGCTGTTGTATCAGCAGTACAAAAACTTACATCACAATTTCATGAATATGATTCAGTTATGGAGTTTCCATGGAAAATGAATTTGTGAAAAGGAAAGAACTAGTCACAACCTACTTTCTCAGAATTTATTCTTTATTTCCAATGAAGTCATTCTTCTGGTTAATCATGTCAGATGTAAGATGCTGTAATATATTTCTGAGATTTACAATAACAATATAACCTTTCAAACCACTGAGCTGATTTTATCATCAGTTGACACAAAGGTTTACAGATGGTCATTGCATAATTCCTTTAGATAGAAGCAGTAGAAAATTTTAACAGAGTATTCATAACAAACTGTTCATTTCCTCTTTCATGTGTTTAATGTATGATATGAACTCCAAAAAATGAATTAATAATATCTATAATTATTTCCAAATAAAATAATATATGACATTGATTTTATACAACTAAATCGTTCTTGGTTTTCTCCCTATTTTTCATGTCTCAACTTGCCTTCCCAATTCTAATATTTATTTTACTTAAAATAATGCAACTGTCTTTAGCATGGTGTACTTAAGTACCTGTTTTCCCTAAAAGTCCATAAGCTCCCTGAATTAAGAGACCATTTCTTTTACCTTTGTAATCTCCTTTTCTGGTATAATATCTGGCATGTTAAATCTGCTCAATGTGCATTTGTTAAACTGAATTAACAAAAGATCATGTACTCAGAGGTGTAATTATTCAATAAGTAGATAACATTACATAGATGAGATAAAATGGAATGAAAACTAATGAGTCTTAATAAAGAAGACATTTAAGTAGAAATAAGTATGTCAGTAGAATTATGGCAACAGGAGAGACAACATCTTAGGATTTGCACAGGAAAAGACTTGTTAACTAAATGCCTAATGGCACCTAAACACTAACATGCAGGTCACAGGAATGATAAATAGAAATGGGTAAATTCAGTGTATAATGAATACAGTGAGCTTTGTGTCAGATATTTGAACTGCTTTGTCTAGTCATAACAAAGATGAAAATTGATAAACACAAAAGAAATGTTGAAAAAGAGAACTATAGTTTTTCTAGAGCCAAGATTCAAAACTGATTTTTGTAAGTATTTTTTATTTGAATTGGTGACCATTCATTCACTCATTCATTCAATATACAAATATTTATTAAGAATCTACATTTGATAATGTAGTGGTAAGCTTGTAATTTTCAGTCTGGTGATACAAAATAAATAAACATAGGCATAAATGGATAATTATAAACTGAGATAAATACCATAAAGTACAATTATCCCTCAATATCCAAAGAAGATTAGTTCCAGAACCTCCCTTAGATACTCCAATCTGTAAATACTCAATACCCTTATATAAAATGGTATAGTGTTTTCATGTAACCTACCCACCTTCTCTTATATACTTTATATCTTCTCTAGATTACTTATAATACTTAATACAATGTAAATGCTATGCAGATAGTTATTATACTGTATTGTTTAGGGAATAAAATCAAGAGGAAAAAGTCTGTACATGTTCAGACTTTTCATTCCTAGTTTTTATTTATTTTTTTTTATTTTATCTGCAGCTGGTTGAATCTATGGTTGCAGAAGACACAAAGGACAAATTATGTAATAATTTAGATCTAAAGGGATCTATGACAGAAAAACTGTCATGATCTAGAGCTAATGTTCCACAAGAAGAAACATTTGAGATGTCATCTGAAAGATGAATAGTAGTTACATGAGGAAAGGTTATTCCAGAGAGAAATCATGAGCTGGGAGGAAGCACTGCATGCTTATCAAAGAACTGAAAGATGGCCAGTATGTCTGTGGCATGGAGTCAGGTAGAAAATAAGTACAAGGTGAGCATGGAAAAGAGTCAGGTGACAAAATGCACACAGCTTTATGACCCCTATTCCTGAGAACTTGTATTATTATCTTATGGATGTCACTGGAGAGATAGAGCAGTGATCAGGTTATTGTTTCATATCACTCAAATCACAAGATAAAAAGAGACAAACTTTTATAATTATCCAGACAATAGCAATATCACTTCCCCAGAATCTTACATCCAGTGGAATTCAAGAGCCTGACATTAATAACTCTAGAGTATATGTGAGAATCATGACATTGTCAGGGCCACTTGTCACCAGTTCAAGACCATAATTCCTCAGATATACCAACCATTTTTATTTGACTTGAAGTGAATGGATAAACAATTTTGAAAGAAAGAAATCTATTACTGGAATCCTTGACCCGAGTCCTGACTAAGGGATTCCAACAGACCAGATTTGGTCACCAGCCACTTGAGAGTCAAATCAGAGACAAGTGGTGGGAAGGCAAGAAAGGAATTTATTATTCATGTGGCCACACTGAATGAAACAAGGAGACAAGTGTCCTAAGCCCTGTCTTTGGGGTTCAGATAAGAACTTGGAATTTATATAGAACAAGAACAAAGGGGACAAGAACTATGCATAGTCAAACAGTATTGGTCAAACTGTGATCTGGTTGATCATTACCCCAAGTGAGGTTCTACAAAATTCTGCAGGCTGAAGGAAAAATAGTTACTGTTTGAGGGTCAATTCCGTTCTTGTCATGAGATGATGGCTCCCACTTGGGGGAACAACCTCCATTCCTTTTATGGAATAATATACCTGTAAGACTGGCTATTCCTGGAATCTTAAAAATATATTAGTTACTCGTGATAACTTAAGCCTGGAAGGGGGAATGAGAGAGGGCCATTCAACCTTGTATTACCAATTTTTAGATAGACACTCCTTAAGTGATTAACAGTCTATGTGCAGAGTTGAACAGGAATCTGACCCAAAGTTAAGACAGTACAGCTGCAGGCCCAAGTGAAGAGTCAGTACTTTTAGCAAAAGCAGTACCACTTCATTCCATAAAATAGAGTAAGTCTTCCTATGAGTTTTGTAGAAGAGGTGGGGTTTACAGATGGAAAAGTCTGGGAAAAGGCAGAAACAAAGGACAAAAAGTGGATTGGTCACTTCAGAATTACTTTCCTTATAAAGTAGGGCTAGGGAGACGGAGCAATAGAAAAATAACTGCTTAACTTCAGGTTACTTTTTTGAAAGAACTAAAGCAGAAGAAACTTCATTTTCATGCCTCAAACTGGCCTGTTTGAGAAATTTGATTATTATTCCTTTTCTTGATTTCTCAGAAGGTCAAATTCCACCTTAGTTTTGGTTTTGTGTTGTGGACCTTTAGTATGAGTGACTCCATTTTTATTTTTAGTCTGGTCTTTTGGGGCCTAATGCAAGATCTTAATTCAAAACAATGGCCCCTCATACTTTTTATTTAACAGATGTAAGGCTGAGATCTAAAGAATTTTGACATTTTTAAAATATGGTAGAAGAGGTTGAAATGCAGAAGCTGAGAAATAAGAAGAAAATCAGATATATAAATTAGGAGTTTCATCCCTAATCATAACCAGTCTTTAAATTTTCTTGACAATCTCAGATTCCTTTAGAAGTATGTAGGCATAAAGAGGGACAACCTGCAGCCTGCTTTTGTAAACCAAATTTTACTGAAACACAGCCTTACTATTCATTTATGTATATATGACTACATGTGTCTAAACTAAAGTAGTTCAGACAGAGACCACATGACCCACAAGCCTATAATATTTACCATCTAACCCTTCAAGAAAAGTTTGCTGACCCCTGATGTAGATTTTAATTTTATATACATGTATATGTATATATACATATATAAAGGAAATGCCCCAATCATTGCAAACTTGATATAAATAATGTTCCTACGATAGTACAATATATAACCCGCACAACTATACACAGTGGCCTTCTATAAGAGGAAAATGGTGAGTTTCTTTCTTCCTTCTTTTCTCTTTCCCTCTTTCTCTCTTTCTGTTTTTTCCTGTCTCCTCAGAAAAACGAATGAAAAAGCATCTCCTGACCTAAATAATTTTGTTAATATCTTTAGCACTGAAAATTGTATTTAAAAGAAAAAGTAGAATGCTATGCTTTTTAAAATTATTTCTTCCTAACCTTGCTTTATAACATCCCCTATAATTAAATATATACATATATATGTGTGTGTGTTTTTCCCTAGGTACTCTCTTATTAAGTTCCATAAGTCACTTCTTCTTACCTCAAAAGATAATTAATATGATTCTCAGGTTAACTGGAAATATCTGATAAAACCTCACTCAATCCCCCATTAAATTACTTATGAAAATACAAAATGGCAACAGTCTTGGAAACAAAAGATAAAGAGGACCCTACATCAGCATCTCAGAATTTTAAAGATATCACAAAAAAAGGTACTAGCAGTGTCCATGGAATGGTATAGTGTTACTTGCAAATTGACTTAAATTAATTGTAAATTCATATTACAAACTCTTTTTTTATTTATTTCTTTATTATTTTTAATTTTTTATTTATTTATTTTTTTCTTGACATATCATATTTCATACATTTGATTCAAGCAGACTATGAACTCCCATTTTTACCCGTATACATATTGCAGAATCACATGGGTTACACATCCACTTTTTTACATATTGCCATACTAGTGTC